TACCACAGAGCTGCCCCCTTGTTTTGTTTTTGCTTTCGAAAAGGAATCAGTGCGGAGAACGCCTTGCCAACATCCTTTTTTACTTTTTAAATTAGCAAAAGGACTTAGTTAATGGTTTTACAACAAAAAACACAAAAGAAAAAAAATATAAAAAAACACAAGTTTTTTTCCAATAAAAATTTTGCACAACGAAGTCGAACAAAACTCAAATTTTTCCCCGTTTTAAGAGGGTTCCATAATATAGATAAAAGCAAATATAAAAAGGGGATAAAAAAAAAAAAAATTACAAAATCCATGGGCGCAGACTTAAACGCCCAAAGAGAAAACCAAAAAAAAATTTTTGAAAATTTTTTCAATTTTTAATCAACCCGAAAATTTTCAACAAAGGCAAAAAAAACAAAAACAAAAAAACACATATTTACGCGTGTGGGGGGGCATCACCAAAAAAACCAGAGTTACGTCCCCCAAAAGTTTTTCGACAGTATTTTTTTTAACCAAAAACCTATCTGGCGCGCTTAACTTTTTAATTTGTCCGTATCATTCCTGTCAGTCCCGAAACTTTTCCACATTTTCTATGACACGCCTGGCGCAAAGGACGTTTTGATTTTCAACAAACGCTAAGCCCTTTCTTTTGAATCATTTTCTAGATTACTAAACTCCCCCCAACCCCAACCCAAAAAAAGCCCGGGCCCTGAAAAAACATTAACCAATTGCCAAAGGAGTAGAGAAGGTTGACATCTTGAGCCCAAAAAAATTCCACCCCCAATTTTTCCAAACGGGGACCCGTGCAAACACCCCGCAAAAAAAAAGGTGATACAAGGATCCAAAAACATCCCCCAAATTTTCCCACAGCTACCTTAAACACGAACACTATTTCCTCCAACACCCTATTTTACCACCCAAAACATCCCTTTTTTGCCAGCAGGATTCAAGAAAGACGATCATTGAACACAACCTTTGAATTTTACGAACCTTTGAAAACCCTTTTCAAAGGCAAACAAACAGATCTCATACCTTGACCCCAAAGTTTCCGAAAAGAAACCATCTTAAACTCTTAAACCTTCAAGAACAGGGTGGTCCCAAATTCAAAGGTTTACGCCCCTTTAGGGCCCAGACAACAGTAGGGGATAGGATCCCTTTCTGAACCATTTACCTCTGGAGTGCCCCAAGGCTCGCCCCGGGGCCCCTTTTTTCCTTTTAATACAACAAGCTTCTTTTCTGCCAAAAATCCCAAGTCAATTAATTTGCAACGACCTGCTGATATAACCATCAATTTCCCCCTAAACCCCCCAACCCCCAAAACAGACAGCAAATTTTTCTGTGGAAAAACAGTGGGACAGGATTTTAACCCCAAAACCAAGTCACCAACACCAAAAAAAAAACCAAATTAAACCCCAAAAATGCCCAGGCCAATCCAGGTCGTTCAAATGCAAAATCTCGGACAACATCTGCGACCTTTTAATTTTAATACACAATATCTCGAAAAACCCATGCAAAAATCCTTCTTTATTAAAAAAAAAGTCATTATAAAAAGAAAAGTGAAAAAATAGACAAGTCCCCGGTCCACCCACAGATTTTTAAAATGCCCAACTATTTGGGGCTCCTTTCACTAAAAAAAGACAAAATTTTAGAGACCAAGGGGCCGCAATAATAGGGGTTAAAAGGATTCTCCCCTCACTCAGTGCACACCATGCAGGAAAAAACGGGGGGCGATCCCCGAACATCGCAGATTTTTACTGTAGACTGATAAGTTTTATAAGAATACCAACCATTGCATTAATCTCCCAACTTTTTGTTTAAACCCCACATAGATTTTAAACCCGACATAGCATCCCTTTTCCACGCCCCAAATAAGGTATTCCTCCGACTACCATAAGTACTCTTTTCTTCCCTTCTAGCATTATTACTATGGAATAATAAACTTCTAGTAACCATTGCCACCCTGCCCAACCTGAGTCAGGTTCAAACAGGCAGTGGTGGGTTTGCAGTACTAGTCTTACTCCCAGTGTTTTTAAACTACATGTATTTTATCTCTTATCATCTTGTTTCACTATTAACATTTTAACAATGACTAGAATACATTTTCAGTCTCACCTTCCAAGCATGTCAATGTTTGGACTTTTCTTTTTTAGCTTTTCTTTTCACCTTTTACTAACAATCCGACGTGCACTAAATTCCTGCCTTTAACACTCCTAAGAGGGGTTGGCAGTATCCAGAGATAGATAGATGATTGCCTACCTTCACCGAATCGCCGATGCCATTCAGAAACTTGTGTTATTTATACTATCTATCCTGCAGATGCATGTGTTTTCATTTCATAAGGTTTTGTAGGTGAATAACCAAGTTCGCACTAAAATTTAATAATTTTGCGCTGTTCTGGATACTGATGTGATGCCATTGTCAAGACACTAGCGGAGATGATGTCCTGTTTGTTGTTTGATAACGGAAAACGTTATGACATTGAAACTTTGATAAAAAGACGTCAATGACGTCATTTCAAACTGACGTTAATTGGCTCCAAATTTGGCTCCAAAAGTCCGAATATGTTCAAAATAAGCTATAAAATAGCAATTTGTGAATGAAAAATGACTTCCCCCGCTCTTGCGCTAGTGTGTTTCCATGACTACGCATAATACAGCGGAATACGTCTGAAGAATAATATTTTAATTTCCAACAGAATCAGTTAGATCTGAATTATGTTTGGCAAAAATCGCAAAGAATAAATATTTTAGAGAGTAAGTCCGGTTATTTCTTGATCACCCCTCGTAAATACAAAGTCCCTTCTTCGAGCTCATTTAAAAGGGGAATAATTTGGTGGAATTTTAGACAGGGAAGTTATCATTCGTGGCTAGGGAATATGTGCAAGCAAGTTTGTAAGTGGATCCTAGTGGGCTAGATTTTTTAAGAAGAACTTTAAAGTAATTATGATATTTGAATCGAAAAATAGAGGGTCTATAGTTTGGCAGAGCTATATCATCCGCACTGTAGATCTGCGTGGTGATATCCATGGATTTAGATTTTTAAACTATACTGTAATGTTTACTGGCTAGACTAAAGTGACGTCAGATGTGATGTCAGTAAACCAAATGCCATGAAAATTAAGTGACCGCTAGAAAAAATGTAGATCTAGTTCATATTATTGTTATCATTTTCTTTGGAAATATATAGTTTTTTGCATAATCTTAAAGTAATATACGGGTAGATATATCATTCAAATACAGGTAGTATGTAATTTATTACAGTAGATCTGCTGACTGGATAACCGCGCATTAATTGAGTAACGCCGCGTTCTTTTTTTACAGTTCAATTCTGAAATCAATAACATTCAACAAGCTTCATGGTTGACTGCGTGTACACTAGCTGTGTTTACAGACGGAAGTTATTTTAGATAATAGATCTAATATAAATATCATTGCAAAATGGACATACATATTTTAGTTCAAGCTATTATATACTTTTGTATCTTTATAGCTGGATTTATTGTGTCAATTCCCGTTGGTGTAAACAGGGTAACTTTTGTTTTATCTTTACATTATATTTTCTTTTATTTCTTGTGCTAATTTTTCCCAAAATGTTATTCTAGTTACCTCCCCTAGCAGTACATGTATTCATATAGGATCTAGTTCTAGATCTAAATGAAAAAGGTTTCTTAAAAATAGATAAGCTATAGATAGTCTAATTTACTAATTTCTCAAAGATACTAGAACCACTTAAGTACTATTTATAATCTTTTTTCTATCTTCTTAGTAGGAAGATAAAAGATCCAAAGTTAGATATACTTGTACGTAGATCTATATAGATGTAGGCCTATCTATGAAGTCTATACCAGAAATATAGTGATACTCATTTTGTGTTTATAAAATCCTTTTATAGTTTGTTGTAGAATCTAAATATGAAAATGTTGAAACTATATTTTTAGATCTACCTTCATTTAGTTTAGCACAGACCTAATATTATTTGTTCCCAACTTTTTTGAAAATATGTTTTAACAATGAAACTGATATACATGTAGATCAAAGCTCTGTTGTACAATTATAAAAGTTAGTCTCGGACTCTTTGATTTGAAGTGTACAGCGAAAAAGCACAAGCTGGGAAGAAAAAAAAATGACCAGATTGATAAAAAACCTTGTGTTAATCTTAAATGTGTAAAAATACTACTGTCAGAGGTTTTTAAAAAGAGCATAAAACACAAAATTTAAATTTGATCCGCGTCATGACAAAACCAACATAATGGGTTTGCGACCAGCATGAATCCAGACCAGCCTGCGAATCCGCGCAGTCTGATTAGGATCTATGCTGTTCGCTATCAATTTCTCTACTTGTAATAGGGTTGGTAAGCGAACAGCAAGGATCCTGATCAGACTGCGCGGATGCGCAGACAGGCCTGGATCCATACTGGTCGCAAACGCACTATGTTGCTTTTGTCATGACGCGGCTCATTTCATATTTTTACATAGATCACCTGGTGTACTTTAAATAGAAAGATACGCAAAAGATAACTAAGAAATATACTCAGAAATGCATTGAAAATCATATTTTTGTGTTATTCTCAGCCCGATTTGAGTAAACGTTGAAACGTTTTTCAATTTTGGATCATTTTTCACAGAAAAATAGTAAAGTATAGTGAGCGAATGCCCTAAAATTTTCCACACAAGTTATTGGCATAGATCTACTTCAAGTGGATAATTTATGTCGGAAGTTTTTTACCACTCCTGCCATGTCAAAAAAAAAAACGTCAGTGGAATCCCTTTAACTTGTAGTATGTTTTTAAGGGGGCTCATATTTCACATTTTTTGTTTGTTGTTGATACATTTATGCTGAACAGGATTGTTTTTTGGGTTTTTTTTTATCAAATTGGTCATATTTTTTTCTTGCCAGGTCCGATACTCATGCCTGCGCGGAAAAGTTATATTAGTGTGTGAGTAGAGCTACAATAATAAGGTATTTCACAGCGTTAGAATATACCATAGTTTTTGTCAATTTTCAATTTCAGTGGAATTTTCAAGGAGACTGTATATTATATGCTGATATAGAATGGAACTCGAAAGCATTTGTGATGCATGCATCCAGTCCGGCTAACTGTAACTTTCCTATATACTACAGCGTGTTCGGCATGATATTTTACGGTCTTGGAAAGGGAATCTTCTATGCCTTTGCCACATTCAAATCGATAAAGAAGCCTACAATTGGGTAATTTTTATTGTATATGATTTGTATGTATAAATGCAATATGTGCTATTTGCTTCAGTCTTGAATAAACTTCTGTTCTGTCTCCCATTAATATAGCCAAACACCCGTCAAGTATATTCTATGACTCCTAATCAAAGTTAAAGCTGCATGCCTCCAGATGAGGCATACTGTTTCAAGAAAAATGTATAAAATGTCTTAAGATTTTGCAGTATTTTTCATCATATTGATTACAAGTGTCATTTGCAATGTGTAAATTACTGTCTTTGTTCACTTCACAATATTTTACTTTCAGATCAATGTTCATGATAATAAGCATAAATCTGGAGGCAAGCTTCTTTAAAGCGGTGATCTTTTTCTTAAGCTTTTGAATGAAAGTCTGCAAATATTGTGAAAAATCTGTCATGCTACACATCCCTATCTGATCACTCACGCTTTAATACTATGTTGCTTAAACTTATGTTACGTTTAATGACTCAAGCTTTCTTAGCCTGACAGATCCGGCACTTCTGTTTTTTTTAATAATGGGATTTTCCCATTGTACGCCCTGACTTGACATTTATAAGTACATGTATTAAATTTAATTACAAAATGATGTTTACATATTACGAAATGCACGTCAACTGCAGACCTACAACTTAATTTCCGCCTGGCTTGATGTGCAAAATACTAAACATTTCATTCTGGCTAACTTAATGTCATCTGGGATAAATTTAAAATGATTTTACAAACAAAGTGAGCCATACACTTTATGCCCCTCTCTCAGCATTGGGACGAACATAGTTTGAAGCGTCCCGTCTGTCCGCACTCATTAGTCGCAAGTGCCATGGATACTTAAGTGGCTACAGTGCACTTTCTCTTTGATGATTGTTTATGTTCAAAAAGTATATTGATGTTCGCTATTCAAAGATGTTTTTACTTAAAAATTACTAGGCATAAGTGTGTTGTTCATGATGGCAACGTGTCACGTGTTGCGTGCAAGAATCAGGTTTCCAGCTTAAAGGTCAAGATCACTTTTGTATTTCAAAGTCATGCTTTGATTTTGAATTACCATGTAAGACATGATGGTGACCAATATCATCGCAGCGATTACTTCCCTTGACCAGTATAAAGTTGGGATATGCTTGGTGGACAGTCAATGTTGACTGAGCTTATTTTACTTTATGTATCACAGCATAACAGTATCAAATATTGTTATTGTTGTTTTTTTTTGTTTTGTTTCGTTGTTTTTGTTGTTGATTTTTTGTTAATTTATAATACAGTAGATATAATGATATGACTGATTACAGTTACGAGATGTGGGTAATGCCGTATATTCTAGTGAATGGGGCTCACACGTTCGTCGCCTTGATAGTGTCATGTATGCTGTCTGTTGGCTTTCTTCAGTTCTGTAACGGTATCAAAGAAAATGAGCTTGTAACGAGGTAACTTTATTATAATCAGTTTATCTCTTTATGTGTTTCACAAATATTCATTTTCGTTTACCAATTACTAGTAACTATATTGCTTTTTTATGCCAAACCACTTTTTCAGGTATAATTTTCACCTGATTCTATGCCAAATATTTATAAGTAGAACTTAAGTAGTGATCAAAAAGTAACATAAGTGTATACTTACTTGGAACTCACAAATATTTGTCCAGTTATTGACTATCACCGCGTAAATAGAAACTTTAAAGACACAAATTGTGCAGTATTAACACAGAGGTGTGCAATTCTACGGCTGAAACGAGCACTATGTTGATTAAATGAATCAGTATATTTTATAGCAAATCAAATTGAAAAAAAAATTGAATAAGCGCATACAGTTGCTGAGACATATTTAAAGCCTCTAATAAAATTTAATGTTTACTGGAAAATGTTTGTCTACATCATTCTTTAGAATGATGACCTTGCTTGCGTGTTGTAGGGCACAGAGGTCTTCCTCCACCACTAACCAGTAAAGCTGGAATGACACCATATGATATATATACTGTGTTGGTGCGACGTAAAACCCAACCAAATGTATTTTTTTCTTTATCACAGTTGCGGAGTTTTTGCAAACACAGAATGGACACGTTACGGTTCTAGTGAAAAATTTAATGCCGGGCCATACACGTCATTACTAGCCGTGGCACAGGTTAGTATTTAACTGTCATTGAATTAGATATAAGATATTTCATTTGATAGTTTCTGAGTGATACTATTCAAATATGATACACAGCTGGATGTGCACTAAAATAGATTGGTCGAGACGCACGGCCGAGTATCTCAAATTGTAAGACACACATGTTTATATTCCTAAAAGCTATAAAAATGATACATGCAATATGTCAATGATTATTTTTTTACCTATTTTTGTTTATACATGTATATTCATATATGATTACACAAAATGATTATCATAAAGATTCAATATTCTTTTTAAGTAACTTACCATGAAAAATACAAGCAAAGACATGGAAAATGGGTCGTCTTTGAAAAGAAAGATTTTTTCCCTCTAATGTGACATGTATTTTATAAAACAATTGCTGTTACACATGTAGCAAATTACAATAAATCAGAAGGATCCAGCTAAAATAATGAGTCAGTACTTTATTGTTTATTTTCCATTGTGCTTTCAATGAAAAACGGAAACGCAACACATTTTTTTTTATTTGTTAGATTGCGTCCTGGACCTGCTTTCTGTTATTTTTGCTGCAGACAGCTTTATGTATCCTGCGCTTTGTAAGAAACAGACGACAGAGAAGCGGAAATGCGGGAGCTGACACAAAACGAATCGCAGAACTTGAACCGACAGCTTAATTTGTGAATGAAATGTTGACAAATACATAACCTGTAAAAATGTGAATATGTATAGATGGCATTGGAAAAAACAACGAAACGTTGAAAAGTCGTCTGGCGGCAAATGATAAAATCTGAAAATTTTGTTGTTTTTGAATATTGATAATATTCCACATTGTATAAAAAGATATTCTTACTTATTTTCTTGTTGTGTTGATAAAGGTTTTAGGACCGTGCCTTAGACTGTGTTTTGTAAAATTAAAGCATTACTGACCACTGATCACTTTGTTTAAATCTAATAAAATAATATAGCACATGAATGCCTCTTAGTCTTGTGAAAAAAAGTGCTAGAATCTACATGATATTTCTGTGATATATGATAATTATTATAGACTTAAGACAGTAATGATTTATTTCTTTTACAGTAGTTAAAGAGCGGGCATGATGCGTCGGACCAATAATCTAAGGATTGCAGGCTGCGTTGGTTCACATCACGTCAGGGATCAGCTGTTGTTTCCTTGAAACTCCTTGCTTAGTACTGGTCGGATCCAGAAACGAATTTGGATATTCCACTTTTTTACGCCCCCCCCCCCTCCCAAAAAAATCAATGAAAATGGCGAATATTGTTATGCACCAGGCAAACCGTCCGTCTGTTAGCAATATCGTGTTCACCCGGCCTGTTAGTATTGAACAATGGAAGGAAATTGTTACTGTTTGGCACTGATGTTAACAATAAATAGACAACAATATGTGCAAAGTGCATGTTTAACTTTCCTTAGAAATAATAGACATTATTATGAAGTGTGAAATTCCATGTCCTCTCTGTAACTTTTGAACCGATGGAAGGGAATTGATTGACAGAAATGTTTACCATATACATGAGCCGATGTGCACATCGCACATTTTACCTGATATTTTCGTAGATGAAAAATTAGCCCAGTCCGGGGGGGGGGGGGTGTCACTTCATCTATGTAGACTATATAAGAAACACATTTAAGTCTTGTAATGTGAAACTATGTAGCGCCAAGAACTTAGATATTTGACTGGCAGCATTGTCTTGTTGACCTCTACAAAACTGATGTAAATTATGTTCCTTTCATTAATATTGGTCACTTGATTTATATAAACTTACATACTAAGTTTTACTGTGTGAAACTACAATGCACAGAGCTTAGATATTTGTCATTAGCAATGCCTTGTGAACTTCCCCAAAATAATTATATATCGTTTCCTTTGGGTCAATATTCGCCCTATCCCCGGGAGTCTCGTGATTTATTTAGGCTTATGAAACACATTTTACTTCTATTGTGGAAACTACCGGTACATTACCTAGACTGGGAGCTAAGATATTTGGCATATAGCATTGCACTGTTGGCTATACAAGGCTGCTATTGATTATGCCCCTTTTGTCAATATTCGCCGAAATCCAGGGAACAAATGATAGTTAATATAGGCTTATATAAGAAAACATACAGGTCTGATCGATTGAAACTACAATGCACAAACCTTCCAAAATATTTGGAATGAAGCATTACCCTTGTGGACCTTCACAAAACTTATATAATTCATCTCCCTTGTGTCATATCGGTAATCGCTATTGACCCAGTGTCATATCCCCCACGCCGCCCCTGTGGTCACTTGATTAATATAAACTTCTATTTTATACATATTTAATATGCCTTTCAGAGTCCTTGACCATCGTGCAAACACTGTGTAGAAAGAAACCGGAAGTAAAACGTGCTTGTAATCACAGTATCCATACACATAGAATTTTATCTATAGACTTGCAGGAAATGAAACGGTGATTTCGTTTTTACAATGCCGTAAATGGTTTTCCTGATACAATTGAACTATAAGTCACTTTGATTCACAGTCTGTGTGTGACTTCAAATATACATGTATTATACTTCCACGGTATATCCTTAGATTACAACATAGAATATGCTGTCAATTTTTTTTAGATGATCCATGCCTATTTTCAGTGAGCTGAGTTCAAATACATTGACTTTAATATCAACCGAGTACAAGGTTCAAGAAAGTCTCGAAAGCCTGCATGGTATCCCTTACGACGTTCGTAACTCCGACGTAAGACCATCTTAGCATTTAATATTGATCGATTGTCTCGAAGAGTTCGTAATTTACAAAACATCGTTAACATCTCGGAAAGTTACGGTAAAAAATCGACCCCATAAGTCTATATACGATGACGAATATTATTGGAATAATATTGGATTCCATCTTGTCAATTTAGCCTCATTTTCATTTCAAGAGTAAAAAAGTCCATGTCAAATGCATAATGTACTCAATCAAGTATTTTTTTTTCATTTTTTTAGTCCAAAAACTCTATATCAAATGCAATTTTAACTCCATAAAGCCTCGTTTTCATTTACCAAGTCCAAACAATACATATCATATCCATATTGCACGCAGAGAAACAGAGTTCTGGCAAAATGTTAAAACATAGATGGTGTGAAATAAAGATGTCATTATACATTGTTGAGTTACAATTAATACTCTGGTTCTACTGGACTCGTTCACAGCTGCAAACTCTGCTAGCGCCTCGTCAAATATAATGATTCCAACTGTGTAATTCAGTTAATTTTATACACAGTGTGACACGATGTGTAATAACCACATATTATTAGTGAAATAAAATCCATATCACCCACAGTATATCAATCACACTGGGGACTAGTATCTCATTAAAATCATATCCACATCCCTACGCTCATAGCGAAGAGTAATACCGGACTGATTTTAATGTGTACTAATCAGGGGAGATCACGGCGTGGGAGATTATATGCTAGTATATCTTTGCCGAACTTGTTTTGACGAAGTTTTAATTTTCATGATTCCGACCGTAAGTTTGTAAATTTCCATTTAAGTGATTGTAGCGTTTTGTTCTAAATGGCATATTTTCGATTCTAATGTCATTATTTCTCTGTTTAAAAAAAGTTAAAAATTACGCCGCAATGGTGACTTTAAACTTGAATTACTTTTGTTTGCGTCTGACGTCATCCTTTACGTGTGTCTGTTTCCTACGCGTCATTGAATAAAGTTGAAATTTGTCGCTTTCTCCACTGTTTAGGCATTAGATGAAAAGAAAATGTGTTAGTTTTCCGTGAATATGCTATCTCACATCGAAGTGAAAAAATGTTGCAAGCTTTTTTTGGAATGTATAGCATATTCACTCACAATATGCTCTATTTATTTAATGCCAGCCAGTGAAAAAAAACTGAGTTATCAGTGAAATAAAAATCCATATCACCCACAGGCCGTCACTCGCACGATAACTGAAATACCTTTTCTTAGATCTACGTTTTAATTTCCATGATAATTCAGTCAAGTTTGCTTGTATTATTATCTGAACGATTTTTGTATTATTAATTGTATTAAATTACCCTCGGATGTACCCTAACTATATAGTGAAAATGAAAGCATAATAAGAACAGAAAATATCAATAAAATGCGTTATAAAAAGGCTTTGTAAACTATCTTAAGGCCTCAACAGACGGTAGGATTTAGTTGTACAGCACTAATTAGAGATAAGATGTACAATTTTCAAAGCTATACAACACTTGCATTCAGACGGTAATTCTACTTTTTACATACTTAATTTACTCACTAAATACTTTTTTCGCCATGAGTAATGATTAAAACACCTCCATTAAAAAAATATATATATATTTTCTTATGTGAAGCCTGACCGAAACTCAAACCTGGGACCCTCGGAATACCGTACTGCGGCTCTACTGACTAAGCTATCTGGCCGCCTACAAACAACATCCCCTCCCCTAATTTGAGAACAATTCAATACCGTGCAAAATCATTTTCTGAATAATTTGGGATTCGAACATAACACAACTTTGGGTCTCCTGAAGAGTTTTTCAACATCATTTTTACATGTTCGTGAAGTTAGCCGGAGCAGCCGGAACTCATTTTCGTCTACTCCGGCTACTCCGGCTAGCCGGAATCCGGTTCCGGCTATACAGGCTGGCCGGAAATTATACGGTAAAACCTGTGCAAAAGACCATTGGCTAATTCCATAATGTAATGTCAAATTACTTATCACAACGATCTCCGGCTATTACGGCTAGCCAGAAAAAAACAGACATCAAGGCTACATATTAAGATGAAAAAAAAATCTGACAGCAGATTGAACAATATATGTGTCGTGCATTGTGTGTCCGGGTGTCCGTGAGTATAGGTTTGTCCGTCGGGAATACTCTGCTATTTTGCCGACGGTGAGCCGAAAATCGTTCTAGACAGCTCGTATCTGGCCAATTCCGGCTGGCCCCTGTGGGGACCAGACTCAATTACGCAGAACCGCACATGGTGGGATGGTTAGGGGGTCTGACCGGGTGTCCGCTGGTATAGGTGTGTCCGTCGGGAATACTCTGGTATTTTGCCGACGGTGAGCCGAAAATCGTTCTAGACAGCTCGTATCTGGCCAATTCCGGCTGGCCCCTGTGGGGACCAGACTCAATTACGCAGGACCGCACATGGTGGGATAGTTAGTGGGTCTGACAGGGTGTCCGCGGGTATAGGTGTGTCCGTCGGGAATACTCTGGTATTTTGCCGACGGTGAGCCGAAAATCGTTCTAGACAGCTCGTATCTGGCCAATTCCGGCTGGCCCCTGTGGGGACCAGACTCAATTACGCAGAACCGCACATGGCGGGATGGTTAGGGGGTCTGACGGGTGTCCGCGGGTATAGGTGTGTCCGTCGGGAAAACTCTGGTATTTTTGCCGACGGTGAGCCGAAAATCGTTCTAGACAGCTCGTATCTGGCCAAATCCGGCTGGCCCCTGTGGGGACCAGACTCAATTACGCAGAACCGCACATGGCGGGGTGGTTAGGGGGTCTGACCGGGTGTCCGCGGGTATAGGTGTGTCCGTCAGGAATACTCTGGTATTTTGCCGACGGTGAGCCGAAAATCTTTCTAGACGGCTCGTATCTGGCTAATTCCGGCTGGCCCCTGTGGGGACCAGACTCAATTACGCAGAACCGCACATGGTGGGATGGTGAGGGGGTCTGACCGGGTGTCCGCGGGTAAAGGTGTGTCCGTCAGGAATACTCTGGTATTTTGCCGACGGTGAGCCGAAAATCGTTCTATACAGCTTATATTTGGCCTATTCCGGCTGGCCCCTGTGGGGACCAGACTCAATTTCGCAGAACCGAACATGGTGGGATGGTGATGGGGTCTGACCGGGTGTTCACGGGTATAGGTGTGTCCGTCGAGAATACTCTGGTATTTTGCCGACATTGAGCCGAAAATCGTTCTATACAGCTCATATTTGGCCAATTCCGGCTGGCCCCTG